AACGACAACAGCAAAACCCTGAAAATAATTGCAAACCCTGGAATAGGCTGACTTTTTATTTCTCTTTTCAAGGTGTGGTTGGTTTCCTAATTTCTTAAATTAAAAAAAAAACTTAGGGGTTCAGGATGGAGACAAAGAATGTCCATTTGGAACATATTCCAGGCTGTAGAATCAAAGAATTTTAAAACAAGAAGGAACTTCTGAGACTATTTTAATCCACACTCTTCATTTCACAGTTGGAGAAACTGAGGCCCAAAGGGATTACATAAGTTATCCAAGGTCATACAGGTTACAGGTAGCAGAACCACAATTAAAATGCAGTTTCCTCCCTCCCAGTCCTGCCATGTATCCATGCACACTTGCAGCAAAACCCTTATGTGGGTAGGCATTGTTCTTGGAACAAACTTCATTGTTAAAGTCTTGTGTTTTCACCTACCTACTAATTAACTTATCTACCAAGGACTACCATCTGTGACTGGGACATGGGGTGAAAATATATGTTGGGAATGGAGTAAGGAATGTACAGAAACCTAAGGGCTGTAGTCTAAGCCCAAGGAAGTTCAAGATAAGAGTAGGATAATAGAAAAGGATAGACTAGGATAGAATATAGTAATACAAGGATTCCCTGGGAATTATGTGGGATTAGACACTTAACAATCTTCACTGTTACTATTCTGTGGCAGAAGGTAGATAAAAGCTCCACAAATGGAGAGTTTTGAACAGCAATGATCAGTTTAGTGTGGCATTTTGCATCTTTGGACTGTTGTGAAATAGTGGAATTTGACAACCCCACTTTCAGAATCTGTAGTCATTTTTTTCCAGTATTACTCATACTTAACCTATGTTTTTAAATTCTCTAGATGTACTTTCTTTTGTCTTGTAGTATTTTAGCATATAAAATGGGGGAGGGACTGCTTTCCCCTCTATGTCCAGTTTGGTTTTGTTTTCTGTTCTTCAGGGATGCTTCAGTCCTTCAGAAAGATCTGTCTTGATAGAGCTGTAGTTTGGGGGGTCCAGTGAATGACAAATTCCTCTCAAGAAAAGAGGGGAGTAAAGTCAGGTATATGATTAGGGTAGGTAATTAGGAAAGGCTTTAGGTAAGCAAGGTTGTGTCACCCAAAAGCTCACAACAAAAATTTCAGGAGACTGATACAGAGAGATTATAATCCTGAATAGTCACTTGATGAAAACGGTGGGAAGAAGTTAAGAATTTGAAAGGAAAGGAAGAAGATGCCTAAGGTAGAGACATTGACAAATTATCTTCCATGCTCAAGTGAGTATACTTCAAATCCATGAACATACAAAGTTGTTGATTTCCCCTTATCCTAGCCTACTACCCAGGACAGATGCCCAAGTCTATACATGGAAATACAGGCATACTTTTTTATTGCACTTCACATTGCATTTTTTTTTTACAAATTGGAGGTTTGTGGCAATTCTCTATCAAGCAAGTCTATTGGCACAATTTTTCCAATAGCATGTGTTCACATCATTTCTCGGTGTGTCACATTTTTATAATTCCCACAATATTTCAAAATTTTTAATTATTATTATATCTATTATGTTGATGTGTGATCAATGATCTTTGATGTTTCTATTTTAATTATTTTGGGGTGTCACAAACCATACCCATATAAGACAGCAAACTTAATCAATAAATGTTGTACATATTCTGACTACTTCACTGACTGGCCATTCCCTCATCCTTCTCCCTGTCCTTGAACCTCTCTCTTCTCTGATACACAACAATATTGAAAAATATTAGATGAACTTAGCTGATAAAGCAGAGGCAGAGTTTGAGAGGATTGACTCCAGTTTTGAAAGAAATTCAATTGTGGGTGTAATGCTATCAAACAGCATCACACGCTACAGAAAAATATTTCATGAAAAGAAGTCGGTCAATGCAGCAAATGTTATTGTTTTATTTTCAGAAATTGACACAGCCACCCCAACCTTCAGCAATCACCACTCTGATCAGTCAACAGCCATCAACATTGAGGCAAGACCCTCCCCCAGCCAAAAGCTTACAACTTATTGATGGCTCAGATCATGGTTAGCATTTTTTAGTAATAAAGTATTTTTTAATTCAGGTACATACTTTTTTTTCAGACATAATACTATTGTACACTTAATAGAATACAAATAGTGTAAACACAACTTTTATAAGCACTGGGAAACCAAAAAATTCATGTGACTCTCTTGATTGCAATATTCACTTTATTAGGGTGGTCTGGAACTGAACCAGCAGTATCCCTAAGGCATGCCTACAGTAAAGTCATTCATTATCCATTGCTTTCATCTCAAACAAGCAAGCTAGTTGTTCATTTGGTCAACAGAATATATACTAAACAAAGTCTATGAGAGAATCATAGAATAGCTGTTCTTAAAGGAACCTCCAATACAAACCCTGACCCCTCTTCAATTTTTAACAGAGGAGGAAACTATGGCCTACTTTAAGTGACTTGCCTAAGATCACACAGACAGTCACAAAGTAGGATCAGAACAAGGCCTCCTGTCTCCTGGTCCCATAGTCTCCCTATGATACATTCTTGTTTCAGTAACCATTAGTCAATAAAATTGTGTTTATGTTTCACAATTTCAGCTTCTTACATATCAGAATCAAGCTCAGTCAACACTTTCGTATTTGACCTCTTGAGATAACAATATTAAACCTGTTTCATATAACTAACTCTAAAGTCCAACTTGTATGTTTCTATCATGGTTTGAAGCTTTACTAACTCAGCTCAAGTTTTTGGACGATCTATCAAGAGAGAAAGTCATTGAATGTGGGCCCCGAGTCTGTCAATTTAGAGCTCAGTGCAGAGAGATTCATTCTAGAAGATTGGCAATGAGGTGATGAACCACATTTAGGTCACAGCAAGATATGAACATATGAACCCATCCACTAAAACACAGAGGCATAGAGGTGTTGAAAAAAAAAAGAGAGAGAGAGAGATTTTTTAAAAATACTGAAATATACAGTTGAAACCTAGCTATGCAAATTCAAGAATAAATGTCTCTGCTACCTGCATTAACCTTAGTTCACTCCTTCGTATTTTCTCTTTAGGCCAATTAATTGAAGGTCATCTGTGTGCTTACTGGAGCTGGGAACTAGAAATCTGAGCATGCGAGGCGAGCAGCACTAAACAGGTCCTCAAGTCAACTTTGTAACTCATAACGTGAAAATAAAGCAGGAAATAATTAAGACAAATTCAGATGAATGGAAGGGAGCACCAGTCATTTAAGGAAAGGCCCCTGTACAGAGAGATCCTAAGATACCTCAAGACCACTGCAAGGGAGGCCACTGGCCAAAGGGTGAGAGTATTAGGAGCAGAGAAAGACCAACCTAGAAACAAGCCCACCTGGTATGCCGCAGTTAGGGATAGGAGAAGGAAGAATGAAATCTGATAGCTTCCTAGCAAATAATTATTCTGGCTAAGTAGGTGCTAAGCTCACTTGTTTTTGTATTGCTGAATGAGTGGGAATGCTGTTAAAATACAAACGTAACTAATTTTAAAATTGTATACTTTAGAGATCATTATACAAAAATACACCCTCTAAATTTCGGTGCCTTTGGGCAACACTCCCATTTTCCCAACACTAGTTGTGGCTGTGCTGGTTACTTTGCACATAAAAAATTCCATCAAGTAGACCCCAGTAACGAGTTTGGAAGGTTATTAGTAGAAGAGAGATTGTTCCTTGTCTCCTCATCCTAACAAAGAGCATGCATATACCACTCAGTGACGCAGGCTAAAGAACATAGCCTGCCAGAGCAAGCAAGCAGGCCAGATACCAAATTACCTGTCCCTCTAGCCAAGCCGTGAACATTCACTGCAGGCCCTCTAGGGAGAAGCCTTGAATTCCCAGGTCTAAGGCAGACTTTTAAAAAAGGGGAAAAAAAATCCCATGTACTTAATGTTGGTTTTCTGTATTACTCTTCTTTCCTTATCTCAGGACCCGAGGGAAAAAATACACTTCCATTTCTCCTAAAGGAAATACATATTAGTAAAAATAGTAGAATCCTACTCTAAAGCTAGTGTCAGGGTCCAAAACCCAGTCATGGCACAGACTTTCTCAATTCCAAAGGTAAGCATTCAAAAGTCACTGTACACACAGCAGGCAGAATTTGACTTTCATTAGAATTGAATCCATAGTACAAAAAGGCAAACTTTATTAGATGCCCTTTGATTTGGAGTCAAAGGACCTGACTGTGAATACTGGCTCAACTATTTACCACTACTACTTTCAGTATCTTCATCTGGAAAAGGGGGGGGTGCGGATCAAGCTAGGTGACAGCTAAGATCTCTTCTAGTGAATCCCATAACCCTAAGAGGGGATATTATTAGAGGATAGCTAGGTGACGAGGGCTGTACCTGGAGATGGATAGACCTGAGTTCAAATCCTTTCTTTTACATTCATTAGCTATGTGACTGGGGGTAAGTCACTTCACCACTGTCTGCCTCAGTTTCCTCATCTGTGAAATGGGAATAATAATAATAGTATTTAACCACCCAGGGTTGTTGAGAGGATAAAATGAGATAAATATTTGTAAAGCTCTTTGCATTCCTTAAATGCCATGTAAACACTAGATATTATTATTATATTCTAGCAACTTATTTCCCAGGTACTTGAAGATACTTAGAAACTTTGATTTTGTCACATTAATTCTGTCCTGTTCTTTTTCCCTGCTCCAGCTTCTTACCGGTTCTATGTTTATTTGAAAAAGATCATCTGTTTACTAAACCAATCTTTCCTTTGTTACTGATACTTTCCCTTCCTTCAGATACTTGGGGTTTATTTGTTTCCACTTTGAAAATGGATTCTTTCCTGGAACATGCAATGAGCTCTGTGTGTAAACTCCTCTCTACAGGCTCCTGATGGCTGTGTTCCCCTGCCAACAAATGTATTATTCTTAGTGCTCCAGAGCATCAATACAGCACTTCACATTGGCAAAGTGCTCTATGGTTATAGCAATTATCAATCATTTCTCACAAACCAACCTTCTCTAGGTAGATGGTTGCAGGTAGATGGGTGGGAATCCACAGTCCTTGATTCAGAGGCTACAATGCAGCATGAGACATAGAAAATAATCATAATAAATACCAGCCTGTATTTATAGAATAGCTTACAAAGCACTTTATTTCCCATTCCTTTTTCAATTCTCACAACAGGCCTACAAGCAAATAGCATTAAACCCAATTCACAGAGTAGGAAACATGAGTTAAATTACTTACCCAAAGTCACACAGCTGCAAGTATCAGAACCAAGACCTGAATTCTGATTCCAAGTGCACTGCTCCTCTTACCATACCAGGATGCCTCCCTAGACACAAAAAGGAATTTCTTGAGTTACTTTTTGGTTGTATAACCCAGAACTAATAATGACATCCTATAGCTGTTTTGCACTTTATAGAAAGTTTTCATAAACATCATTTCATCTTTACCACCACACTATGAGGAAGCTAGGTCAAATGTTATTTTTTTTTAGTATTTTATTTTTATTTTTCCCCAGTTACATGCAAAAACAATTTTTAACATTCATTTTTAAAACTTTGAGTTCCAAATTCTCCCTTCCTCCCTCCCTTCCCCCTCTCCCCCCTGTATTGAGAAGGCAAGCAGTTCAATACAGGTTATATATGTATAGTCCTGCAAAATATATCCATAATAGTCATTTTGTAAAAGAAAACATAGACAAAAAAACCCAAGAAAAATAAATAAAGCTTAAAAAAAGTATGCTTCATTCTGTATTCAGACACCATCAGTTTTTTCTCTGGGGATGGATAGAATTTTTCTAAGTCCTTCAGAGTTGTCTTGGATCATTGTATTGCTGAGACTAGCTAAGACATTCACAGCTGATTATCTTACAATATTGCTGTTACTTTGTTTACAATACATTTCACTTTGCATCAGCACAGGCAAGTCTTTCCTGATTTTTCTGAGAGCATCCTGCTCATCCTTTCTTATAGTACGGTAGTATTCTATCATAATCACATACCACAGCTTGTTCAGCCATTCCCCAATTGATGGGCATCTCCTCAATTTCTAATCGTTTGCTCCCCCAAAATGAGCTGCTGTAAACATTTTTGTACATATAGATTCTTTTCCTTTTTGTTTTTTATCTCATTTGTTATACAAACCTAGTGGTGGTCTTGGTAGGTCAAAGGGTATGCATGGTTTCATAGCCCTTTTGGCATAGTTCTGAATTGTTCTATCAATCCACAACTCCAACGAAAATGCATTAATGCCACTTTTCCCACATCCCCTCCAACATTTATTTTCTGTCCTATTAGCCAGCCTGATCGGTATTAAGGTAGCACCTCAGAATTGTTTTAATTTGAATTTCTCCAATCAATAGTGAGTTAGAATATTTTTTTCTTAGGGCTATAGATAGCTTTGATTACTTCATCTGAAAATTGATCATATCTGTTGATTATTTATCAATTGGGTTATGGCTCTTATTTTAATAAGTCTGACTCAGTTTTCCATATGTTTGAGAAATGAGGACTTTGCCAGAAAAATTTGCTTCAAAAATTTTTTTCAGTTGCTATTGCTAACTGTATTTCCCTCCATCCTATCTCTCCCCCCCCATTCCATTTATACTACTCTTTCTCTCCTTTCACCCTATCCCTCCTCAAAAGTGTTTTGCTTCTGTAGGTCAAATATTATTAATCCAATTTATACATAAGGCAACTGAGGCTCAAAACTCCTTTGAAGTAGGGATTGTTTTGCTCCTTGTACTTGTGTCCCCGCCAGGGTGCCTGGCACAGAATAAGCACTTACTAAATCCTTGTTGATTGATTGATTTCAGTAGAATGCTGTCTTCTGCATTCTAGACCAGTGGTTTTAATTTCCACTATACCACATGAGCCCAGCAGTTTTCATAAAGTTCTGATTGTCTAAATGGAAGAAGGTGTGAGAGGTAAAACCAAATTCCAGGTGGCAAGCAGTGTTGCAAAAGCTGTTCTGCTCAACAGGGATGGGGGTTGGGGAGAAGTAGTCTTGTACTCCCAGAATACTGATAATAGGTGCTAAATAAAGCTGATGGATTAATTCCTCTCCTCATGGCTTCTGGATAATATGTCGGAAGGTAAGTTCAAGTTGATAGTGAGTTAAATTGGGCAGGAGCTAAGACAGTATAACTTCTATTCTTTCTTCTCAGAAAAAAAAAATAAGCTACATCCTGTGAATGTTTATGAGACTCAATGAGCACTCCTATCCACAGAATGGCTGTAGTTGTGCCCCCTTGGGATTTTAGTCTCCTAGGCAGCCATGATGAAAGATGTACATTCAGTTGCTCCATGTCAAACCTGTAACTTTTTACTGCAAAAAAGTCCTTGGAAAATGACATTATTGTCTTCCAAATAAACACCAAGACCTTTTTTAAAGAGCCCCTGTGGAATGCTCTTTTTTTAGCTGTGGTTCTATAATTCAACAAGCCCCATTAAGAATACAGTTTGTCAAGGAGGGTGAAACTTTCTAAAGAAATGCACTCTTATTTCTCTCTTCCTTTTCCTTTCTCCTCCTTCTTGCAAAGAGTACTTTAACTCCCTGTTGTTTCCCTCCCTCCCTACGGAAATTAGACAAGCCAAGGCAGTGTGTGTGTTGGGGGAGGGGGAGAGGGGATTCTTTAAACATTTTACTTTTATTGTCCCTCTTATCTAAAAATGTGTATATAAATCCTAATGGTAATTAATACTGATTTTAGTTGGTTATTATGTGCACAGCTTATAAAAGAGAGGGAAAGAATTCTCTCTTTCAAAAACAGAAGCTATTTCTTTGCTAAGCAGAACAAAGAACTGGGGGCTGGAGCCAAGGCAAGAAGAGGTCCAGAGATAATTTCCCATAAACTTTACAAACTGTACGCAAGTCCCAAATATAAAAGGATAGAATCCTAGACCTACTCTTCTTCTCTTTTATAACAGAACATCAGGCCAGAAAGAAATGGACTATAAGAAAAAGGGGGAAGGGGGAACAGTAAGAGGTATAGGACATTCTGACTTGTATATTTCAAAATGAGGGCCAAACCCTTTGTCTTATATATCCTTGTACTCTGCACTGAGTATATACTTCCCAAATACTTGACAAATTCTGGAAGAAGAACAGATATACAAGATAAAGAAGACTGGGGAGGAGCAAAGATGACTGCAGGCCTCAAATGGATTGACAATATTTTTCCATGTATTTTAGTAGCAGTAATGTCTATTATAGACTATTTGGACAGAAAGGCAACATAAGAAGTTATCTACTTCAGTTTCTTGCTTCCAGGCTAAAACAGTTCATATATTTCGAGGATCCATCTAAGTGCCTTCTACTTTTATGATTTAATAAAAACAAATAATCTCCCGTCAAAATACTTCTGTTCAAAATAGACATCTCAATCCAGTTTGTCTCCCCGTTGTAAACCAGTGGGGAAAGGACTGTGGTTTTAATATAGTTTGCAATCCAGCATAGACAGAGGTAAGAGAGAAAAAGAATAACAAAAATGAAAAAACAATGATCCACCAGTACAGCTGATCTCAGATCAGGTGCTTACCACCTATCAGATCTTGAGCCAGGAAACAGCGCAGTATAATGGAATGAGTGTTGTATTTTAATCCCAGCACTGCTTACCATGTGTATGAATTGTCTTATATCTCTGGACCTTATTCTTCTCATCATTAAAATAAAAGAGTTGGACTATATGACCTCTAAGGTCCCTTCCAGCTCTAAATCCTAGGTTTCTCTAGATGAAAATTTCCTGACTTATAGGCTTCCCGTGTTTCCCATTTACCTGGCTTGCACACCTCCTCCTAGACCTAGGTAGCCCCCACATGGCATACAGGCTTCTTCCAACTCAGGAGTTTCTCAATATGTTACTCTGATAAAAAAGGTCAAGGGGGTTAGTAAACATAATACAGTCCTTAACTGACATTTGACTCATACTTTTAGTAGGTAAAGAATTTAGATGAAGACTCAGGAACTCTGGACCTGTATCTAAATTTCTTCACATGGCCTACAGTGTGGACTTGAGATCTCTCACCATCTAAGACTCCTGCAGTTGATGCATTTCTGTTCAATGTCCAGCTGCTGTCAGAGACCTCTGATTGCTTTTCACCTCAGCTAGCTGTGATAAACAGCTCACTGAACAGGGAGAGTGAACGCATTGGCCATGGTAAAAAGAAATCTGAGGCTACCATGCTGGCATGGAATCTCCCTGACCTTCAGCTCCAGTTTCTGGTGGCCAAGGGGTAGGTCACATACCCTCTATCTAAGTCATGTACTTTACCTGAGGCATCTCCCTTGGCTGCCATATTTCATAACCCATTTGTATATTCCTCTATTGCTCCCCACCTGCTAACTGAAATCTAATCCCCTGCAGAGCAGAAAAGCAGAAAGAAGGAAAGGATTAACACATCCTTTCCTTTAAACAAACAAACAACTTAAAGTTCAGTTTGGGAAAGTGATGATTCTCCCATTTGAGACACGAGGGCCAAAACCTTTGTCTCATATTTCCTTGTACGCTCGCTGTACAGAGTATGTATGTACTCACCAAATACTTGACAAATTATAGAAGAAGAATAGAGGAAACTGAGCCATGATTCCCTTCCATTACTGCAGGTAGTTGCAAGGGTCCCTTTAGGCTCTATTTTTTTTTTAACAAAAGTGGTTCATTCTCTCCAATGCTAATCTAGTTAAAAAAAAATAATAATAATCTATACAAGACTACTCCAGATCTAAAAGGTGCCAGGTATTTTTTTTCTAGAGTTGAGTAGAGTAGGTAATTAATTACTCCCTGGATACGTTGCAATTTCTGTTCAATATGTCAGTTTCCAGCTCAGTGATACTGAAGGAATGAAAGGTTTTGATTTCTCCCATGAGGAAAAGGTCTCCTTTAGGTATGACCGATTATAGGTAGAGTCAGAATCAGGGAAAAGGAAAGGCAAATATCTCCCATGTAAATAAAATCTTCAATTAGATGCTCTTTTACAATTAAATTTGTGAGCTTAGTGCTCTGGTTACAGAACATGGTGATTAATACATTGAGCCAATTAAACTTTAAGTCATTCCTTACATTTGTTTGCATTTTCTCTTTTCTTTTGGGTAGTACACATACAGAATTAGTCTGAACCAAAGGTGTAATTTATCTGTCTACAGTCTGAGTCATTTATTTCCCAGAGGGTATTCACAAACTAATTCTCTTTCTAATCCCCGTGGAATATACTACACATCTTCCCATTTATTTACTCAGCAGCACTTCACCTCCGCCAATCTTGCCCCACCTCCCAGTTTTTCTTTTCCTTCTCCACCACCAAACAGCTACTCAGCACAAAGAAGTTTTATTTG